GCACTGGCACTGGCACTGGCACTGGCACTGGCACTGGCATCGGCATCGGCATCGGCATTGATACTATTGGCATCAATTGGCATTGGCCGTTACATTAACATTGGCATTGGTTTTGATATTAGTAAAAGAAAAGAGCAGGAAAAGTGAGTTTTCCGGAACTTTCCGATTAGAATGACACATACCACTTGTTTTCCAACCGGAATTTCCAGTTTTTCTTGGTAAATGATAAGCATCCCATGCTATACGAGTCGACTTCTTGTGTAACGTTCTTTCGAAATCAACTGGCGTCGGACGAACTTTTGCGCAACAAAAAGTGACAACATCGCCCCAGTAAAGTGCACGCGCCCTCATTTAGTGCGATGCTTCTCTCCTTTGACTTTTGTGAACTGCATTTTGGATAGGCGTTGAGCGAAAAATCATCGATGAAGCTGTTACGCGAGAAACATTTTCCATCCTTCCGCGCTCTTTTAAAGCTCAATCAAAAACTTTTAAGTTTTAAAAAACCTGTTGCCGAATCTGAAAATCGTTAAACGTGATACTGAAAAAGTGATTTATTTATTTGTTTACTTACATTGTATTATCTTTGCTCTTTCTGAAGTCTCTTAGAGAAACCTCGTGGTTTTTCTTCATAGCGGACACTTTGTTTTCGAAATACGTGTCAAATCTGATAACGACCTGGTAATTGAAGATGACGCCGGTCACTACAGAGTCTTTGATCGACACTAGAGAAAAACGTTTGCGCATGCGTGCATTTCAGCACGTTTTCTAAGAATTTTGACGAGTTTGAGTGAGAAAATATATGTTTGTTTCCTCCAAGTATACAAAAAAGGTGGACAGTATACTGTTATCACACCAAGATATTGTATTAACAAACACAATATGAAAGAATTAGTCTTAAGTTTCAAGCATGGACACTAAGTTTTGGCATATGGTTACTTAGGAATGTTTGAAAGTCAAATTTACTTATGTTTTGACTAATTTACATACGGATTCAGAGCATGCGCAAACGTTTTTCACCCGTGTCGATGGCAGGAACAATACAATCGTTTTACATGGAAAAACATTCAATCCCGAGAGCAAAGGGATTTTATTGTTCTGCCATCTAATCACAGGCAGCCCAAGCTGGATTATGGCGCCGGCACCTGATGGTGCAAAACATATCTACTTACCCCTCTGTACTTTTCGAATATTATAGATAGTTTTGTGCTGTCTAACATGTAGTCGGGGAATCCAATATTAGCACGCATGCCGTCAATCTGCAAAACAACAAGAAAGACTTGAATTTTATTGAACCCTGAAACGATCTCTGGGCTGATCTAAGTCAGGGCATGGCTTCCCCCCTCCTCCTCTCCAACTTCCCTCCATTCCACACTCCCCCCACCCTTCCCCTACTCTTCCCCTGGATAAAGCTGATGGTTACCTACCTTGGTAGATATTAAACGTTTAGTGGCATCATCTAACCAGTTCAGCGATTTGACGATTTCTTTAAAAGCTTGGATCTGTTCCCTCAAAATACTTTTCCCCTTAATACATAAAAACATTTATAGTATTTTAGACAAAACGGGTCAACGCTTGCGGGTAGGATAGCGGGATCCCCTGGTTGCTACTTAAAATGCCTTTCGACCTACGGTTTCATTAAAAACAAAATCGATCCAATAGAAAAGAATTCCTGTTATATTTTCCACCTACGTTGCATGAAGTTCAATGTTAGTATGGTCTAGGAGCCGGCTAGTTCCTCCCTTCTTGAATCACGTCGTTGGAATGCAGCTCAATGTGGAGGACATTACAATAGGTTTCCAGTTCTTAGGAGATTGAAATGTTTTTGTTTTGTCCTCCAAATTGAACTGCTTTGACGTCACATGCAAGGGGGTCGATAAACCAAATTGTTTAAGCATTTCAGTTTCATTCCCAAGAGCTTTTTTTGTTTAACGGATGCGCATGACAAGACACATGAGCAGTAAAGAAAGAAATAATACTCAAGGGAATGACACATGGCCTGAAACCGGAAAACATATTGCACCATAGCTGAAAAGCATTCCTAGTAAAGAAAGAAATAATACTCAAGAGAACGACACATGGTCTAAAATGGAAAAACATTGCACCATAGCTGAAAAGCATTCCTAGTAAAGAAAGAAATAATACTCAAGAGAACGRCACATGGTCTAAAATGGAAAAACACTTACACCATAGCTGAAAAGCTTTCCTAGTAAAGAAAGAAATAATACTCAAGGGAATGACACATGGTCTGAAATGGAAAAACATTGCACCATACTAGAAAAGTATTCCTAGTAAAGAAAGAAATAATACTCAAGGGAATGACACATGGTCTGAAATCGGGTCTGTTCCACCCACCATGTTTCTTGTTTTTTCCAGTTCTGTTTGGTGTTCCTGGACATACATAGCTGATATGACATCATTAAAAGATTCAAAAGCTGAACCAACACATGTCTGCCAACGCTCTTTCTCAGTCACAGTACCCTCTGTTGCGTTTTTGTACGCTAGCTGTRCGTTCCTAAATGGCAATGAAAGCCACTCGATCTCGTTCCGTATGACGCTCCATACCATATAGTTTGCCAGTACGCTAAAAAGTAACCGAACAAAGCAAGGTAAACCAATATTGATAGTGAATAGCWTAACAAAAAGGAAACTACGTTGTTCAGTTTGCTTATTTTTGTATTGGAAATCGCACGATCTCGAGTACAATAGTCCCCTTCACAGTTCCCTGCGCCATCTTGAAAGGTAGCCGTGCCTTTGCATCGAAGCGAGATAAACGGTTAGCTTGCAATGATAGATACATGTGAATAATTGTCCAAGGTGTTGTAAAAGCAGGTCTCTATATTATTGCAAGCTCATCGTTCGCTGAATCGCGCTCTACTCTTGCAACATTGTGCGCAACAAATTTCATCACGTGAACATTGCTGCAACATTACCTGCAATATTATGAAATTTCCAGCCAATCAGCTTGTACCAAAATTATAACTGCTGACCAAATATCTTAACATAGCAGGCTGACACAAGCGATGTTGCGTGACTTTGTTGCAATGTGTGTCACTCCGATTCAAATTTGTTGCTTGCAATGTTGCGTGCAATGTTGCACCGTGTGTAAGCACCTTTAACGTACTTTACCTTTTTGGAGTTTTCTGTATTATTGGCATTACCCTCTTCAGGTAGGGGAGTGAACTTGACACGAAAATGTTTTCGGTATCGGGAATCTTAGACGATGTTTTGAACAGTTGGTTCAAGTAATACCTCCAGTCGAACTAAAAGAAAGTTATTACTAATTATCAATTTTTAAGTTTCTTTTTATTATTTATTATTTATTACTATATGATTAATGATTTATTAGTGATCATTGATCATTTATTTTTGATTATTTATTATTATTATTTATTTATTATTTATTTATCAA